TCACGGTACTATTTTGAAAAATCTCTATAGAGCTTCAATTCCATTGAAATTTCTATTTTTTAATGAAATGTCTTCATGGGGTCACACGAATCATTTACCAATGAATTATTCTCAACATTAATTCCATTGCGGACGAGCCCAATTGAATTACTTGGAAATTGTAAGAGTATTGTTATGACGTCTTGTTTTACCAAGATGGAAGTACAAAAGTATTTTTCCGGAGTCATAGCATACGCGAAAATTTAATAATTTATGGAGGAATATCAGGTGGAGGAGATTGTATGTATTCACGATGAAATTCGACCTGTGAAAAATCACATATAATCAAAAATTCGGTACGTTGTACCATTTCGCTGGGATGCAACGTACTCGACATAAATCTCCTCGGCGAAAAGAAGATCGGGACATGTCATTCCCTGGGGGCATCGATATTCCTAACGCTCTCTATATATTCACCAGTTTGCTACGTGCCATTTTCAGACTGCCTCTTGAATTATCTAAACGGACCTACGTCTTCAGTAATCAAAAATCTAATCCAACGTTTCTGCAACATTGCCACAACCTTGAGGGGTGGAAAGTATTTTATTTTCATGTTGGCTGAAGGAACGAGGGAAAAGGCATTTGTATCCCAAGTTTCGGAGGCAAAGGAAAACAAAAAATCGGTGAGTGGGTAATTTCGATTCCACTCGGATACTCGCCAGTTGCCGAGGAATGGAGGATCTCAGAAGAATACCCTATTAATTTCAGCTTAGACTCCTAGGATACCCACAGCAGCTTCTGCAATCTTTCGAGAATTCAATGATTGAGGAAGAATGACCAGAAGTTAAATCTGTCACCGACCTCGCCACAACTCTGCAAGTCTTTCTGATTCCAGTGAACCTCAATGATCATCTATTTGTGCAGGATTTACGGGATTCGCACAAGGACCACCAGTAAAAAAGATTTCCACTGGGATTGTCAGTAGTGTAAAGATTTTTTCACTCACCAATTAAAGTCTCACAATTTGGGAGTTGACATTAAACATCAAACAGTTGAGTTTATTGATGACAGGCTTATGCTAACGAAACATTAAAAAATGCTGTTGATTGGCACAAGCGGCCAGTGGTTAAAAAAGAGAAAAGCAAATTATCATATAATCCTACTGGACAAGCTATTTTTTTGAATGAACCGCAATATTGGACCAATTCACTGCCAACATAAGTCCACCCCCTCTTCAAATCGTATAATATTCCCACCGCCCTACAATGGACCGGTACATGAATGCTGATAAATATCCGAGAGAAAATCTGCGGGAAAAAAAATAAAAATTAATTAATCCACGAGCGTGATAGGCTTTTTTCAGCGTTACCGATATACTGACAATTCTTCTAACGCGCGTATACCACATAATGGTGTTGCCGCGTGAAACGCATTATTTAGAGTGAGTTTATTCTCATGATTACATCGGTTCCTCTCCCTCGTAGCCGTCGTATCGAATGACGATTTACGTCGTGTACATTGTGTGCGTCATGTCTTTGTAGGGTGCACAGCCATCACCAAAATGCATCCACTATGTCCGCCATTCCACTGTAAATTAGCCTCAACGCAATCTCATCCTCTCTGCTTGTGGATTTTCACCTCCTGGGGTAAAAGTCTGTGAGGGTGTAAGTGAATCCTTTGAACGAGCAACTGTGAAAACCTTCCTTGTATGTTTTTTTCTATTTTTTTAAGGTTTGAAGGGGAAACGAGAGGCTGCGTTGCAGACTGTTCTAACCGGTGAGTGGCAGTCAAATCGGAAATCGTCTGTAAGCGCAAATGAATTCAACTCCATCATCGAGCTTGGTTCTTTGAGGGCGAGAGTTACCCCGTGATTCAACTCATTTTACCCTCCGCCATCTTCCTTATTCCACTCGGAGGAACTCGAATTACCCGACGGATTTAGCCCTTAAATCCTGCGGCTCTTTATTTTCCCATTTTTTTTTTGCAAGCTCTTTTTGAAATCGTCTCAATGGAATAAAGTTGAGATTTGGGTAATTATCCGCTTTGTGGGTGCAGTTGAAAATCGAATGAATTAAATCGAGCCTCGAGCATCAAACACTGATTATGCAGATACATTCGAGGACTTATTTAATGTAGATTTTTATGAAGTTGTCCCAAATCATTTATTTTACGTTAGAAAAAGTATCAGAATAGGTAGCAGTAAAATTTAACATATTGTACACTTTCTAAGGAATTGGTCATCCAATTCATTTTGAAATTTGAACACTGATACTTTTTTTTTATAACTAGTTCAGCGCGCTGTTTGCTCGTTGATAACTTTAAACAGAATGTCGATAAAAAATTAAATATTAGACATTTTGGTAATTATTCAGTATTTATTTCTTCTTAGCTATTTTCTTCGATGAATTTGTACATGAGAATGAAATACATGAATATATTTTCCAGGATATCAAAGGTTATTATGGATTTTATTGAAGGATGTTATACTGTCTGGTTTTACCTGAAATTACGGATTTTACTCACAAGATTTGTTGAAATGTCTAGAAAAAACGTAGAAAAAAAACACAAACGTAAAATTCGCCTCCGCTTTCCTAATTAAAATTTCAAAATCGAGAAGATCCACCCGAAAATTCCTGTAAAAGAAATGAATAAAATATTAATCTACTTATCCGCAAACTACACGTGCACGAATATAAATGAAAAAAAAAACTCCGTGGACCCTGGTCGACAGTTCTCAATTGACGTATTCAACTTTAATTCGAAACACCAGGGAAAAAAATTGCAGAACGATTAAGCGCAGTGTCCTGGAGGAATTGCTGAATACGAATATTACACGCATCCCATGAGCCCCGCAATGAAAAACGAAAGCTAAATAAAAAAACAATTAAATACCGTTGGAAAGGTGGACGAACTGAGGTGAAAAAAATGCCCATGCGGAAACTTCGTAAATTCACGTGCCGTATCTAGTGATAATAAAGGGTGCACATAAACTCTATTGTATCTTCTTTTTTTTTGGTGGAATGCAGGTCTAGAGAATCTAGTGTATAGTGTCCCTGTAGTTTTGGCGAACGGACGATGAAAATTCTCGTAAAGGTGATCAATGGGCTCTCCAGGGAAAGCTCTATACACTAGCCGTTTTAACTTGCCATGAAAAGCTCCTTCCTACCCAGTGGTATACATTAACGAGCATCGAAAAATAAAAAAATCCGGGAACAGTAGCGGTACGGAAGCGCTAATAGTTGTAAAGAGCACTCTCAATGCCGGGTAAATGGACACCAAGTGAAAATTCCAACCACAGAAATTCGCGACAAACAGCCATTGGAAAAATCAAATGGGAAAGGTTCAATCGATAACTGTCAACCGTTATACAATTTTAATATACGTCTTACGTCACATCTCACGGCCTCGGATTGTTGAAATCTACGTGACAAGTGAATCTTTGTGAAAAAATAATATATTGTGCCTCTAGGGCGTAAAGTATTTTCTGACGAAATGTGAGTTATAATCACATGAGTCAGAAAATACTCTATTTCCGTGAGGAAGACGATATTTTATTCTCGTAGGGACGGGAAACTGCGATCTAACTGAGCGATTCGAAGCTTTTATCAAGGTAT